AATCATGGGAGAGAGAATATTAGTGCCTCATGTCCAGTTGGACAAAGTGAGATAAAAAGTTGATAAAGGAATATGAATCATATTTTAACTGTGTAAGAAGGAATACAACGCATAGATAAACAAAGAAAAGTTCTCTTCATAGTCAACTGCCCTAAAAGGGGAGAGGGTGAGTACCAGAGCAAAGCATTGAGCCTGAAGGCCTGTGCGAGCAAGTTGTAAAGGGGCGGCACTGTAGTTTCCGTGCGTGCCAGGGCTGCTGTACACCTCGAGCCTGGGCCCCACACTTGGCATCTTGAGCAATCTGGCAGAGCTATGCAAATAAAGCAGCTTCTGCAACATAGTTATGCAAGCTGGCTCATGTTTCACTGGCACTATGTGCAGTCCTTGTTCTACCTTGTTCCTAAAGGACCATGCCACATACCCCTACATGGGCTGCAGATGGAATCCAATGCCCAGTGTTCCCAGCTGGAGGCACCCACTCTGGCCAAAGGAGATGGTTTCCAGATGGCCTCAGCTCCATTCCCTGATAGAAACATTTCATGGACTTGAAATATAGAAATGAGATCGCTAAAGAGATGAGAGGAGTTTTGAGGGGAAAGGAAACATAAAGGGATCAGAGAAGAGACCGATAAGGAAAAGGGATGGGAACTTTAGCAGAAGGGATGGAAGGAGAAAGATAACTGTCAAGAAATAGACTAGTTTTTCTAGAAAGTGTATGTCACTAGGTCTTACCTCCTAAGGCTTTGTAGAACTGTCAGCACATTACAGGGAGGTAGGTCATGTTGGTTTGGATGTATTTTGATGCAGAGTACACAGAATGTGTCTTCTACCTTGAAGGCCTTACTGGGAGAATTTAGAGGGGGGTTTGTAGACATTATTTTTGTGTGATGTTTTGTGTTACACTATTAATCTTTTAATTGCAGCACACCAAAAAAATTTTCTACTTGACATGACAAGGCATCTTCTGTGATAGTGGTACTACCTACACTTTGCCAGAGGTGCCCGGCCTTCTGCTCTGAGGTCTTTAGCCATCACTCCACTCTCAGATCACAGATATATGGGTGTATGAGGTGTGCAGGGAGTCAGGGAAGAAATTTTCCTCTAGCTGGGAATGAGTCTCTTTTGCTTTTTGAGGTTGGCCATCCATATGTGTGGTCTTTCCCAACTGATGTGTCAGGGTTGCAGCATGAGCTCTTAGCTGGCCAGCTGGTGGGAAAAGGGGCCCAGAGCAGGTGGTAACAACCCCATGTTCAAGCAGTTCCTTGAAGGAGAATACAGGTTAAACTGGCCAATTTTATATAACCAAACTATATTTTGTCAGCTCATTACTGTAAACAGTATGCAGGAGAAATCATTTGTTACTTCTATCTAGATAAAATCTATGCGGTTAGAGTCATAGTGTCCATGTGTGAGCTTGGGCAACACAGCACTTATATGAGATTCCTCTACCCTAGATGTGCCAGAAAGACTATACAGTTCAGAAGGTTTTTAAGCACATGTAGTATCTGCTATACTGCAAGCAGTCATAGCTTATCTGCAGCATTATCATAAATCAATAAATTTATGAAATTAGTTTCCCTATGCACTTTGAGATGACCTTAGCAGGCAAAATTTCTGTGGCATCTGTAGCTCTGTACTCTCAAGAAGCAGCAATAGAGATTAATTATGACCACTGCTATATGAGCAAAAATATGTTATTATACTGTAATGTGCTGTATTACACTGGGTGATGTGATGGCTGGAGGCCATCTTGGGCATAGCGGTCATGACATAGAGTTTTCAATTCTTGGAGAAGGAGGGGGGTCAGCAGAACTGCCACCTTGGGCTTCTGGAGGGCAGACTGTGGCCTGTTTAGGAGACTGGTTGACAGAGTCCCTTGGGAAGCCATCCTGAAGGGCAAAGGAGTCCAGGAAGGCTGGGCATTCTTCAAGAAGGAAATGTTAAGGCTCAGGAACAGGCTGCCCCTGTGTGCTGAAAGTCAACCCAGTGGGGAAGAAAACCAGCCTGGCTGAACAGAGATCTTTGGCTGGAACTCAGGAAAAAAATGAGAGTTTATGACCTTTGGAGGAAGGGGCAGGCAACTCAGGTGGACTACAAGGATGTCATGAGAGGGAGAAAATTAGAAGGGCCAAAGCCCAACTAGATCTTAGTCTGGCTACTGTAGTAAAAGACAATAAAAAATGTTTCTATAAATTAATTAACAACAAAAGGAGGGCTAAGGAGAATCTCCATCCTTCATTGGATGCAGGGGACAAAGGATGAGGAAAAGGCTGGGGTACTTACTGCCTTCTTTGTCTCAGTCTTTAGTAGTAAGACCAGTTGTTCTTGGGGTACCCAGCCCACTGAGCTGGAAGATGGGGACAGGAAGCAGAATGAAGCCCCTATAATTGAAGGGGAAATGGTTAGTGACCTTATCTACCGCTTAGACACACAGAGGTCTGTGGGGCCAAGTGCGACCTACCCAAGGGTACAGAGGGAGCTGATGGAAGTGCTCACCCAGCCACTTTCCATCATTTACCAGCAGTCCTGGCTAACTGAGGAGGCCCCAGTTGACTGGAGGTTAGAAAATTTGATGCCCATCTACAGGAAGGGCCAGAAAGAGGGTCCAAGGGAACTACAGGCCTGTCAGTCTGATCTCACTGCAGAGGAAGGTCATGGATCAGATCATCTTGAGTGACATCACATGGCACGTACGAGGCAACCAGGTGATGAGGCCCAGTCAGCATGGGTTTATGAAAGGCAGGTCCTGCTTGACTAACCTGACCTCCTCCTATGACAAGGTGACCCACTTAGTGGATGAGCAAAAGGCTGTGGATGTTGTCTACACAGACTAGTAAAGCCTTTAACGCCATTTCCCACAGCATTCTCCTGGAGAAACTGGCTGTTTATGGCTTTGATGGGTGTTCCCTTCGCTGCATAAAAACCTGTCTGGATGGCTGGGCCCAAAGAGTTGTGAGTGGAGTTAAATGCAGTTGGTGGCTGGTCCGAAGTGGTGTTCCCCAGGGCTCAGTATAGGGACCAGTTCTGTTTAATATCTTTATCAATGATCTGGACGAGGGATTGAGTGCACCCTCAGTCAGTTTGAAGACAACACCAAGTTGAGTGGGAGTGTTGATCTGCTTGAGGGTAGGGAGGCTCTGCAGAGAGACCTGGACAGGCTGGAGCCATGGGCTGAGCCCAACTGGAGGAGTTTCCATAAGGCCAAATGCCGGGGGCTGCCCTTGGGCCACAACAACCCCCAGCAGCGCTACAGGCTTGGGGAGGAGTGGCTGGAGAGCTGCCAGTCAGAGAGGGACCTGGGGGGGTTGATTGACAGCCCGATGAACAGGAGCCAGCAGTGTGCCCAGGGGGCCAAGAAGGCCAATGGCATCCTGGCTTGTGTCAGCAATAGCGTGGCCAGCAGGGACAGGGAAGGGATCTGACCCCTGGACTCGGCACTGGTGAGGCCGCCCCTCGATTCCTGTGTTCAGTTTTGGGCCCCTCACTACAAAAAGGACATTGAATGACTCGAGCGTGTCCAGAGAAGGGCAACGGAGCTGGTGCAGGGTCTGGAGCACAGGTCGTACGGGGAGCGGCTGAGGGAACTGGGGGGGTTTAGTCTGGAGAAGAGGAGGCTGAGGGGAGACCTCATCGCCCTCTACAGCTCCCTGAAAGGAGGGTGCAGAGAGCTGGGGATGAGTAACCAAGTAACAAGTGATAGGACAAGAGCTAGTGTCCTCAGTCATGACAGAGGAGATTTAGATTGGATATTGGGAATTTCTTCACTGAAAGGGTTGTCAGGCATTGGAACAGGCTGCCCAGGGAAGTGATTGAGTGACCACTCCTGGAGGTATTTAAAAGGTGCACAGATGTGGCACTTAGGGACATGGTTTAGTGGTGGACTTGGCAGTGTTAGGTTTGCAGTTGTACTCAATGATCTTAAAGGTCTTTTCCAACCTAAATGATTCTATGAAAAGTCTTGGATGGATGGGTGTAAGGGATGAGCCACAACTGACTGAGGTCACTGCACTGTGAGCCCCCTTCCCCACCCTGAGCAGATACACAAAATGGTTTCAGAAAGACAAAATGGAACTTGCAGTGAGTGGCCCTGGTGTCATTGGTCATGACTGACTGGTGTCTCAGCCAGTCCTGAGACTGGGGACAGAGAAGGTTCCATAAATCCAGGAACTGGGGCTATGGAGGATTCCCACTCCCAGGGACTCTCCACACCGAACATCCCTGTTGGCAGGTCCAACACTGGATCCAGGACTGGTGTGTGCTATCTTGCTCGCTCTCTCTCTCTCTCTCTCTTTCCCCCCCCCCCCC